ACAATAAGCCAGTAAGACACACCGCCTCTACGGGCCACTATTACACAATCAAACTATGTTGTCTATACAGGAGAAACTGCTTTCTCTGTCATCTCTAGTAGGGTGGGATGGTGAAATGCCAACAGCTCATCAATGGTTTATTAAGAAATAAGCTGAAGGGAATCAGGACACACTCCTGTTTTACCTCAGTGGAACATTCTGACTGACTTGTAAAAAGACCCTCACTCTTGAGGAGTGGGTTCTACATAAGGACCAACATCACAGGGTCTTTGGTTGGTTTATTCAACTTAGACTTTTATCAGCTTCTGCCTACAGAGTCAGAGACCAAAGGAAGGTCAAAATGAGCCACCAATAATCTACCATTTCTAGCAAATTCTTATAATGTTAAGTGAAAAGAGCAGGATATTAAATGATGTTGACGGCAGTATCTCAAACTTACAAAAATAGGCATAGGAAATAAAAGGAAGGAAATATATAAACATGTTAGCAGTAGTTACCTGCACGAGGAAGTTAGGTAGATAATTATATATTTATTCATTTTACAAATTTTCTATAATGAGGATATAATGGGCAAAACAAACCATTGTTAGAAAATATGAAGACATTTCTTTTTTCTGTGGAGCCCATCTTAACTTCTTTGTGCCTGGTATTAGTTCCTCCAAATTTTTTATTCATTTTGCTATTATTGTTGCACATAGCACTCTGTATTGTGATTACTTATTTAAATTCCCATCTCTCCTCCACTAGACTGGTTTCCGTTAGAGCAGGGATCACGCCACCTATCTTTTCATCTCTGGTACTTCACACTATTCCTGGCACATAGTTGCTACAAAATAACTGTTTGTTGTTTCCGATGAACATTTAGTTACTAAAAAGTTTATGGCAAGGGTCTGCTTGTTACCAAGAAGCTTTTTAATTTTTCCTAAATTGTGGAGGAAAGTTTGCAAAAATCAAAGGAAAAGACAATAGTAGAAACTAATATCCTCCCAAATTAGTAATAATGCTTTAGTGATAAAAGTAGTTGAGAGATAGGAAAGAATTTTATATGTGCATAGGGAAAGGATGCATACATGGCTTCATTTTTAAAAAAATGGCAAACAAGGGTCTTTGTCCTGCCCAAAGAGTTCATATTCTTTGAGCATGAGTGTTTGAAATTGGGTGGTTAAACAGACTGAAATGAATAACCATTGAAGAACACGATGGATGGACATCATAAGATAAAAGCTATGAAAGAAATCAGAGAGCCTTTCTTATTCTCTGGACAAGAGAAGACAATACAACCTCAGTAAAATATCTTTTGTGGCTAAATATCATAATCACAAATACTAGCCTAACTCACAAAAACTAGCCTTAATATAGTATATTGTATATTTCAGCATATGTATGCTGTAGCAAAACCAAACTTCCTTGGAAAATACCTTAGTGGTGTATTAGGATCAAATCCAAACCACAAAAGTTAGACCTGACGGACCCTGAGGTGTTTCGTGTGCTGCTATGGGTCTCTCCCTCACATTAAATGTGCAAGCCCAGCTCACCCCACGGGGAGCCTCGCCTGCATGTGATAGAGAAGGACCCTGAGGAAGAAAGACCGAGGGGCAAGAAACGGTTGATGTCTATGTGCATGACTTAATTTTAATAATCATCAGGACTACAAATAAGGAGGGGAAATCATCATTAATTCTTCTTAATTTGTGCAAAAAGAGACACACAAGAGAATGATTTTGAAAAAGTCACAGTACAAGTGTGTCCCTGGGTGATTTGGAAAGAAATCTTCAATGGCAACAATAGAGAAGAGATGCACCTAGCATGTCAGGAGTCAGGAGGCCACAGAAAAGAGTAGGACAGAATGAAAACAACAAACTGGAACATTTTTTTGAAAGAGTTTTACTCAAAGAGGACACAAAGAATTCTGTAGATGAGTCAGCCTGGAAATAATGGGAAAGAGAGTCTATGAAGTTCATAGGAACAAAGACTTAATAATACCCCAGAGGAAATTATCTAACGAAAAGCAAATGCCAGTGCATCTGTTTGATAACATCCATTAGTGCACACTGTCTGGCAGAAAACCAGCAACAGGCATAGAAATATCTTGAATTCAAAGTCAGCATGGAAAAAGACAGATGAGCTCTTCAAAGAGTAGATACGTGTGGCTAGTCTAAGATCAAACAGTCATTAACTGTAACCTGTGTTCAGTAATGTTCAAAAAGTATTTTGTTATTCAAAGCAGGACCCACAATAAGGAAATGAAAGCAGATGGACAGTAAGGAGCTTGAAGCCAAAAGAAGCAAGGAATGAGCTGAGAACCAAATAATGATGTAAAAAGGAAGAGCTTGAGGCAAAACTGAACTGGCCTAGGGTAAGGGCTAGTATAAATAAAATTAAAGTTCCTAAACTTTCATTTTTTTGTGGTAAATATTAAAATGTTATTTTTTTCTTGGTTACTATTTCCAAAAAAATAATACTATAAAAGGAGATCTGGAATAATATATCAGGAAAAATCTAAATACAGCTAAAGTAATGCAATTTGTCATAATTAAGAATTGAAATCAGCCAAATGTTCCACAACAGAGGCAGGGTAAATCAAATTGTGGTACATCTATGGCTTGGATATTATGCAGCCTCTAGCAATTATATGTAGTAACACAGAATACACTCATAAGGGCTCTAAACGAAGAAGATATTTTATATGGCACGAATTACGAAGCTAAAGCAATGCTATATATAGTTTTAAAAACAGATTTTTCTTAATTACATTTGGATTCTCAGGGAAAAGTTGCTATTTAACTTTAATTTGCTTTGGATATTTTTTATAAGTAGCACCCTCATAGGGCTCTCAGCAATCTCCAAGTAGCAAAGGAAAGGAAAGCACTTTCCTTGCTTATAACTACGAGGCTTTATAAAACCCTTAATAAAATACAGCAGAGATGAAAGATGCTACCCTGAGAGGCTCTCTGTGGTTCACATACTGCCATTCTTTGCCAGTGTTTCTAAAAGTCACCAAGTAGATACCAAATATAATGTCTAGAGACGAAGCCGGCTACCTGAGGGTTACTGTAGATTTTCTTGTTTAACCTGAGGGGTGACTGAAGGGGTCAAGAGGATATGTGAGCTTGTTTTGCAGAAGAAAGAGAATGCCTTCAGGGAGGCTGTGATCACTGGATGACCAGCCCCCAGCTACCCTTGATGCCCAGAAGTCAGATCGCCCAAGGGCTTCTCTGGAGTGAAAGATTACCCCTTTGTTTCTCAGAAACTCCTCCTGCCAAGCCCCTTAGCTCTATAAAACTCTGCTTTCTTCTCTTTTTCAGGACGGTTTGAGAGAACCCATCCCCCTACCTTCTCATTTTGGCCAATTTGAATAAAACCCTTCTCCATCTCCAAGCACCGATGGCTCAGTGATTGGTTTATTGTGCATCGGGTACATGTACTTGAGATTAAGAGGTTGGGTATCAGAGACAGAATTTATATACAGCACCACCATGTGAAGGAAGCTACTAAGTCTTTGTGTGTCCAGATTTACGATTCTGTCTTAGAGACAGTCAAGCATCTACAAACTAAGGAAAGTGAATCCCACCTGAAGGGGTTGGCTGGGGCCACCACAGGGCACTTTCCTCAGGCTCATTTTCCTAATATCAATTTGCTTAAGAGCATTTCAAGTAAGATGCATTCCCCTTGGGAGTTTCTGCATCTGAGTATTTTTTTTGTCACTTCTTTGTCATTTTGGTTTTTTTTAAACTAATTCCTCTAAAGGCATATTTTATTTCTTTTGTATTTCTAATAAATAGTTCTTAAAGTTGCATCGTTTTATGAATGAATGGATTGTTTTATATCTTTGTGTATTTTTTTCTACTTTATTGGGACTTAAATACTCTAAGAATTTTTTTTTTTTGTGAGGAAGATCAGCCCTGAGCTAACATACATGCCATATCTCCTCTTTTTGCTGAAGAAGACCGGCCCTGAGCTAACATCTATTGCCAATCTTCCTCCTTTTTTTTCCCTTTTTCTCCCCAAAGCCCCAGTAGATAGTTGTATGTCATAGTTGCACATCCTTCTAGTTGCTGTATGTGGGACGCTGCCTCAGCATGGCTGGACAAGCGGTGCGTCAGTGCGCGCCCGGGATCCAAACCTGGGCCTCCAGCAGTGGAGCATGCGCACTTAACCGCTAAGCCATGGGGCCAGCCCCTCTAAGAACTTTTAAAGCTAATCTTTCTAAGTCAAGAAACTTTCTTCAAGGGATAATTTAATTTCTATTTTTAAGATACTTCACAGATGAAAAAAAACTAAAAAAAAAAAGTTTTCAATGAGAGGAGGACAGCTTTTACATGACTTTAAAATGTTTGATCTTATTCAAGTATTTAAACTTAACTATATAAAAAGAATTCAGATGCCTTAACAGTGAATTTCAATTAGGGAGAGGGATTAGCATTATATGAGACACAAGGGGAGTTTTTCCAACTACACATGCTGGTACCCTCCTCTAGATTCTAGAAGTTTTGGGGTGAATGTCACATTCTCTTCCTGTTAGTGAAAAAAAATCAAGGGAAATGGAATCTGCCTTTGGCTTCCTACTCACTCCTGACCATATTCTGGCTGTCGATCCCTTCATGATTATTCATAAAATATTTTTAAGAGTTTATTAATTTAATTAAAATAGCACTTGTAAAAGTGAGAATGGATTCTGAATATCATAGACCTGCTGTTAAAGAAAACTCACACTTGGAGCTACATCATCCAGTTCTGTACCATGAGGTTCTAGTTCACAGAAGTACCCTTCCTTTGGTGCAAAGAGGATCAGAAAAATATTTCTAATATCACAAGATAAAGTGTTTTCAAGGAGAAAGGTTACACAGAAAGAATAAGCTTTTCTGTCATTTGATATTTAAACATGGAAACATTTGGGCAGATGGACCTTGCAGGGCTGGGCCAAGCAGGTCTGAGCTGCTGAGGGCAGCAGGCACTCTCCACACATGCTCCCCTCCAAAGCAGGCAGCCTAGTGACTCACCGGCAGGGCAAGACCCGGACAATGTCGTTGGGCTTGTACCCTTCAATGCAAACCGCACAGTTGTCAAAATCCGGCTCTGTTTCCTGCAACAGGGAAAGCACAGATGAGCCTACTTTTATTGCTTCAACTCTGTGTAAACACCCAAACGACAAGCCAAAGGAGAGCTTGCCTGGAGCAAGGCTTTCAATAGACAAGGTGCCAGTTCTCTTAATCAATAATTTACTGTATATTGGCTTAATTTCCATTCCTTCTAACCTCCACTTTCTGTATCTGGGTGCCACTGCAACTGCTTTTGTAAGGAAACAATTTTTTTAATGTACCATGACTAATAATGCTATTTATTATAATTAGATATGACATCAAAATCTTGAGGATGAGAAATAAAATTTATGGAAAATTGTCTGAATGGTATTTAATCTATCCATTCCTCGGGAATATAACGTACAGAACTCTAAAATAGTATTCTAACTTTTTTTTCAAGTATATAAATCTCTTTTAATCCCTCACAATGTATTACTTATGAAATAGTCCTTGTTCTTTTACTATTCTTTGAGGGGGAAAAAGTAATGAAAAAAATGTACTTTAAATTTAGTAATGCTTTTAAATGAATTTTATCTTATTTAGCTCAACAGTATTTTTACATAGTTGAAAAAGAGCAGCATATAATTGCAAGACAAATCAATTATTCAGACTGGAGACAATATCTGTATACACAGAGAGTTGAGAATCCCTTACAATGCCCCCAGGAGCTCCAAATCTATGTATTGCAATCCACTGCTCTAAAATTTCTCCTGGGGAAATGATTTTTTTTTCCTAGGGAGAAGAGAGACCTTTACAGGCTTGCAGGCATGGACTACACTGCTTCGTTGTCCCTCCTCAAGATACGCTTCTATTTTGGCTTTATGTCATCATTCTGCAGTGAGGGAGGCTGTTGCAATGACTTTGGGGTTGTAGATACTAGATTTCAGAGAGACTGAATACACTTTTCGCATTTACTGCACACTTAAGTGGAGGACACTGCTCAGTATGTAACACTGTCTTCCTTACAAGGATTCATGGAAAACCTTTCTCAGGTCATATTACCAGCAGCAACCATTTTGTTTTTATCTTGTGGGACACTGGGCTAAGGTAATTAGATATTGTTTGAATATTGAATATTGTTTCCTTCTTTGCTTTGGTTGCTAGAAAGCCCTAATCTAAACTTGGGATGCATTTACATTATACATTTCAGGTAATGCATTTGTGTACTAATTTCATCCTGACTTCATCTATGTTATCTACATTTACTTCTCAGTTTCTTACATCTTCTGTCCAACTATTTACTTTTCCTACTGTATGCATTTTATAAAATTCTTTACATTATATTTAATCAAGACAAGCACAATAACAGACGCTGGGAGGAGAACTATTAGCATGCATTCCTCCTTTCCTCTCCTTCCCTCTCTTCCACCCTAGCTGCCAGAAAAGTCAGGAGCTTCTTTGAATAGCTCCTCACCAAAAAGAAAAGAGGCTGTTACCTTGTCACCCTTCTTGATGGTTCTGACCTGGAGCTTGCTGATCGCTTTCTTGGCTGCATCTCCCAGGCGGCGCTGAAAAACCAAAAGCTGCTTGTTAGTGAGAAAGATGTGCAATTCTTGACTTTGTTTCTGATGGCATTTAACGCACCAGGGCAGTTATCTCTGAAGTCATGCACAAATGGCATGAATGTTAAGGATGATGGCTGGAAGAGATGGGGCAGTGCTCTCTGTGCAAAGTGGCTCTATTAATCGAGGTCTATTAAAGAACGTTGTCATGGAGAGAAGCTCTTCATGCCCAATGTTAAGCAAGTGGCATATGACATGGGAAGATCCTGCCCTACAGTGACTCTAATGCAGGTTACATCTAAGCAGACTAGCAAAAAAAAAAGGTTTAGTAATTTGCCACTCTAGCCACTTAATTGAGATAGCCAATCTGGAGTAGTTGGAATAAACTTCATCTCTTTTGCACAATCAGGGTTTAGTGCTTGTGTATTCCTTTCAATTTGGGATTTTAAGCAATTTCCTTTGCTTTTATAGACCCAACCTAGCTTTATATTTGGTCTGTACTTCCCTATTCCATCACATTCTTACATGCCAATTTCGTCTTCTTTGTGTATGTTTAAGTGTGAGTGTTTATATAGGAAAATACATAAAACATACATGCTCATAACAAATAATTAGGAAGAAAACACCTGAGTGACCACCATTACCCATGCCAAGGGATAATATATTATATACTCAATTTTTAATAGAGAAAATTACTATCCTAATGAGCCCTGCAATAAGGCAATGATAGGGCAATGGGGAAGAGTGGGAGAGGGAGAGGGAGATAGTGGGGAGATAAATAAGTTTTAATCTGTCAAGGAAAAAAGTGGTGCGCTTGTTGAGTTTTCTACCTGTTGTATCTCCTCCTTAGGTATGTGTACTTCTGGTCTGTATTAGATGTGTATTTGCAGCAGTGAAATATATTTGAAGAACTAAGATAAACAGGGCAAACATTAAACAGAATAACCATGTGCTTTCACTAATTTTGTTCCTTTTGGAAATAACAGTCAAGCTTCTTACTTTTCTTTAAAATTGTGAACGTATGCTAGTGAACAGTTAATATATCATAGGTACTACGATAAAGCTCTATATGCAATATCACCTTTATCCTTACAACAACCCTATAGAAAAATACTATTTTATAGAAAGAATTGAAACTTATACAGCTTAGGTAAATGGTTTAATATTATGGAGTTTGCGACAGGTCAGTCAGAATCTGAATAAAATTAAGTCTGATTTTAAAGCCAAAGCTAAACTACCACTCTCATTATTCACCAATCACCCAATCAGCCAATCAGCTAACCAACCAACATTTGCCCAGCCAGCCAACTAACCAATCAGCTAGTCAGCCAATCAACTACATTTGGCCACCCAGCCAACTGAACGATATCCAGCCAACTGGCCAGCCAGCAAGCTAACCAATCAACACCTGGCCAGCCAGATAACCAGTCAACCAGCCATTCAGCCAACCAACTAACCAATATGCTGGCCAACCAATCATAATCTATTAAGTACCTATTATGTGGCAGTTCCCTAAGCATAGAGCAGTTAAAATAAATAAGTAGAAGAGAGGCCGGCCTGGCGGCATAGAGGTTAAGTTCGAGTGCTCCACTTTGGTGGCCTGGGGTTCTCGGGTTCGCATCCTGGGCGTGGACCTATGTACCACTTATCAAGCCATGTTGTGGCAGCGTCCCACATGTCAAAGTGGAGGAAGATGGGCACAGATGTTAGCCCTGGGCCAATCTCCCTCAGCAAAAAAAGAGGAGTACTGGCAACAGATGTTAGCTCAGGGCTAATCTTCTTAAAAAATAAATAAATAAATAAAATAAGTAGAAGAGATGTTCTCCTTGTTAATTCATTTTTCTCTTTACTATTTTGTCCTTAATTTCTAAAATAATTTCTGGCATTTTTAACAGAAGAGTAAGCTTTGGCTGTTTCCTAAAACGAGACCTACATATACTCGAGATTTATGCAGAAGTCCATGAGTAGCTAGCAAACTAAGGTAGCAGGAAAAATAGGAAGAGTCTATAATGATAAATATCAAGGGGAACATGAGAGTGAGAAGGAAAGAAAAGAACTGAGGTGAACTAAACATGATGGAACTCTCTTTCTTCTCCTCTTCCTCTAGTTATTGCATAATCATCCTTTGGTCTCAACTCAAGCCACTTCTTCAAGGAGCCCTTCCTCCATGTCTCCCTGAAGAGAAGATCCTGCTGGTCTCTACGAAGAGAGGGACAGCACCTTGTCCCTGTGCTTCATAGCACCGTCACAACATTTGCAATTTGATATTTGTTTTTATGATCAATCCTTTTACATTTCTCTCTTGTAAACTCCTTGAGGGCAGAACTGTGTTTTTTTTTGCTTCTCACTGTGTCCCCAGCACCTAGAATCAACCTTCACTATACTTCAATGAACTTCAAGCTGCCTTCACTAACTGACACTCAATCATTCAACACATATTTGGGATCACTTATTTTGTCCCAGGTCCAGCTCTGGCTTTCGAAAAAAATGGTAGTGAAAAAACACACAAAAATTCCTGCCCTCTGTAGCTTACTATCTAGTGGAAACTCAATAAATGGTTGATGAGTGAATAAAATCTTAAACCAATAGATGTTTTTTAAAATCTAGCCAGTTAATGAGAAAATTTATGGACAAACTATAAGTAATACATGTGGTAAGGCAGGCAAAGCTGTGGTCCTGGCCTTGGCAAAACCAGCCAGTCTCAAATAAGGGCTGCTTTTCATTGAAGAAGCCTGGAGAAAGAACTGAAAGGCATTGAGAAAAGGCTACTAGTTACCAGGAGTAAATGCAATAAACCTCAGAATATTACATTTAGAATAAAAAATCTGGACCAAAAATAAGTAAATGTTGATTGTTTTTATTTTTTAAGTCAACAGCTCAGATATTTATGCAGTTGTGTTTAATTGGTATTATATAATATTTGGCCCCAATTCCATCACTTTAATTGTTCGTTACTTCTAAAGGCTAAGCAGGGCAATTAAGTGGCTAAAATTATTTTCAAACAATGGTCATAGATTATACTCAAAGGAAGACCAATATTTTTTCTTAAGGAGGTGAACCAGAAAGAATATTTTCAAAATTTAATTTCACTTAAAACAATTCTTTAGCAAATGAAATATGCTCTTCTTAAATGTGAGCATGTCAGGTAAGTTCAAAGACTACTTTAAAATTCTGCCATGTATTTAACGTTACTTTTGGCGATATCTGAATAAAAATGGGGTTTCTTTAAAAAACACCCCCTTTCTCTTTTCCAGTAAAAAAGCTCTTTCCATGCCCTTTTTAAGGAAAATTCAAGCTGCCTTTATATAAAAAGTAAAAACGGTGTGTCTATTCAGAAAATATAAAGCAAGCTGACATTAAGGTATTCGAGATTGTGGCTAACAGCCTACGTAATGGTTAGGGAATTAGAAAAAAGGATTCCATTACTAGCATTCTGCTGACTGATGGCTGAAGGAGGTTCAAGGAATTCAGTGAAGGATAAAGTCATTTGGGAGATGAGCTTCCCAAATTAGCAGAATTAATAGATGGAGAAATTGGAGTAAAAAAGAAAATGATAAGGTCGTCTTCACCATCAGGTCTATGAGGCCTTCTGCCCTGGAAGCTCTGAGAAACCAAATGATTCACAAGGTAGGAAGACATGTTTTCCTTAATCATTCTCAGAAATGGTATAATCGTCTTCCTTTCCCTTTCTCTGTCCTGTGAAGTTCCCTGAGTCAAACCTTACTTCATATGTTACTGAGAGATAATACACATTTACCTCTGTTGAGGAGGAAAAGGATAGTGTTTTGGCAGGAGCTGATGAAGGATATGAAAGTTTCCCCAACCAGGGGAAGAACAGATGTTCTAAATACCTGGAGAATACAGAAAAATCAGCTTCTGAGAGATATATAACAATTATGGGTCCATGTAATACTAGATTTCTTCTGTAGGAGTTCTGGATTAACAAAATAAAGGGAAAAGCACCATAAAGTTTTAAAAAACGCTATGATGATTTGCAAGTAGTCAAATTTTGGCAACATATGCATGTCTCTTTTTCTTTTTAAGTGACATGAAAATCACACACAGAAATATTGACTTCTGAATTTTAAAAAAGTTCCTCTTTCAACAATTTTCAAACTAGTATTGTTGGATTTCCAAAATGCAAACTAAAGAGATAATGAGTAAAACATAAACATTCTTAATAAAATGGCCTAAACAAGGTAGTCGTTGCTTTTGTAGTCGGCCTCTTTTGTCTTTGGGTTATTAACTGCACCAAGCATAAATGAGAGTGAAAACTACAGGCCCTGCTCAAACTGAGTCTCTTACGTAGTCTTGAGTAGAGAAGCTAGGGATGGAATCAGAAGTCTATAACAAAACAGATTCTTTTCTTTGTAGTTCTCAGAAATGCAGAGTAATGTGATGCTAATGGAAGGCACAGGGATGACCTCAGGTAGAGGGACCACCCCAAGTTTGTACAGGCCTTTTGTTTCAGGTAGGGATTCCTCCCACTTCTCCAGGTCACTCTTATGAATTTTCTCTAACCCAACCAGACTCGAATGATACTATACTTTTCACTAAAGATTGTCAGGAAGTGGGCCATCTTGGTAATGAGATTTATCCATCAATCTGATCTAAACAGGTATAAGAAAATATTTACCAAGGTTATTGATTCCTTGACAACAGTGAAGATAAACAGCTTTACGGAAAATAAATACTGAGCCATTTATTAAAAGAATAAAGTCCTACATAAATGCCAACAAGGATGATAAACAGTGACAGACTCCAATTCAACCCAAGACTTATAAATTAGTTATTTCCTAAATATTTAAGAAACTGAGAAAAATACCGACACTTTCCTCTTCCCCTCCTCTGTGTTATAAACAGAAATGCAGGAAGGTGATAAAAAACTAGGAATAAGGATGCCAAAACCCAGCATCAAAATTGAGTTTATATTCTCCCTATGTCATTGGATTGGATAATTCTGTATCATATTTGCCCCTTTTCTGGAAGCTATATTTTATAATCAT